CCCGCAAGCCAAGAGGAGAGTTGGCAGCTGGATTTAGCCCTAATCCCCATCCTAAAGGTGAGTGGAGCAGGATTCACCTTTCCTGGCCGTAATCCACCCCGTCGTGCTCCCCGTGACTCAGTTTCCCCCACAGTGAAACCCAATCGCAGCCGCCCTCCCGCCCCGGGGCTGGGGTTACACGGAAGGGATTGAAGGAGAATTAATTATAATGGGTCTTATCAATGCTCAATCACTAACGAGCAAGCAGGGAGGCGGCATGAACAGGGCACAGCTGTTTCGTGGGGGACATCGCAGCTCCAGGAATGTTGAAGCCACCACGAAGACTTCACCGCCCCCCACCTCCAACCCATCCCTGGGGCCGGGATCTTTGGCAATCCCAGTTGATTTCCAGACGCTGGGAAAACCGGGCAGGTACCTGCGTGCCGGATGGGGGTGCTGAGCACGCCCATGCTCGTTGCACCCCAGGCACGGTCCCCAGCACTTTCACCACGTGCTGCCCTCTTGCTCGCGCATCCAATCCGCCTGCAGCTCTGCAAGGGACAAGAGTGGGGCAAAGCCCAGCAGAAAAAAAAAAAAAAAAAAGGCCCCAAATCCAGCAAGATCAAGAGCAAGCGAAGGGGTCACACCAGGCTATTGTACCCGAGCCGCTAAAATTAGACCTTCCCAAAAACATAATTATTTATTAATGCCACGTTTCAGAGGCAAAACTATACCCTGTATTTTTAGGCTTGACCTTTTCTCCTTCTATTCTGGGGTTGTTTAATTACCAGAGTATTTTTTCACGCCACTTATCCTGAGCTGGTTTTTCTTAACAACGATCTTTAACGGGAGGCTGGACCCCAGCCAGAAAGAGCGGCCCCGCAGCCCCATCAGCCGCTGCACCGGCACGGAGAAGAAAGTTTATTTGTGCACTTGCCTGTTTCTCCCTCAATTTGATGCTCAGGAGCACAAGAGGGAAGGTTTCCGCCGGTGTCACTCCGGATGGACAGACGGATGGACGGGAGGGTCCCGTTTGCTTCAGAGTTGCCAAGGGAGGGGATTTTGCTTCTCAAATCCAGTTTTTGAAGCCAAAATTGGAAAAAAATAATCCAAAAGGAGCTAAGGGGGTGTGCAGGATCCATCCCGGAGCTTGCACACTGCCTGCCCCCACGCGAGGCAGATCCATGACTCACAGGGCGGTTTGAATCGGGCGTTGGTTAACGATTAAATTAATTGAGCGGGTACGGGAGATGCGCTGGGTGCCTGGGAGGTGGGAGGGGTCCACGCAGGGTGGAAAGGTGGGGTGCCAGGGAGACCAGCCATTTTCACCCCAAAACCTGGTCGGGATGGTCACCTGCACCTGGGGATGGAAACCTCAGGGTGGGATCTGGGTTAGGGGTCACCTGAGATGGATCCTGGGGGATCATCTAGGCTGGGACCTGGGGGAACCCGTGGGATAGGACCTGGGGGATCATCTGAGAGGAGACCTGGAAGAGGGTCACCTGGGATGGGACATTGGGGACCATCTACAATGGAGCTTGGGGGACTCTCTCAGATGAGTCCTGGGAGATCCTTTGGAATAAGACTTGGGGGATCATGTAAAATGGGACCTGGGAGGGGGTCACCTGGGATCACACTGAGGATCACTTAGGATGGGGCTTGGAGGATCCCCTGTGATTGGACCTGGGGGGATCACCCAGGATGGGACCTAGGGGATCATCTAGGTTGGGACCATCTAAGATGGGATCTGAGGGATCATCTAAGATGGGACCTGAGGTGGGACCCCATGGGGTGGCAGATGAGGGCTGACTTAGAATGGACCATGGGGGGATCACCTGGGGTGGGACCTGGGGGTTCATCTAGGATGGGACACGGGGATCACCTAGAACAGGCCATGGAGGATCCTGCAGGATGGGGCATGGGCGATCCCTTGGGATGGGATTTGGGGGATCTCCTGGATCCAGACTGTAGCAGCTGATCCCATCCCCACCGCTAGCAAACCACCTTTCCGTATATTTTCCTCCAGCTTTTCCAACAAAAAAGCAAGTGAGGACTCCAGCACCACCCAGAAACGAGCCCAACCATACCCCCCATCGCTCCCCTTCCCTGCTCACAGTTCTGCTTCACCTGGACACAGGTTTTCCATAAAATTATACTTTTTAGGAGAAAAGCAGCTCATGAAACACCCCCACACACACCCAGTGTCACCCACCCTGGGGGACCAGAGATGCTTCTGCTCTAGTGCTGCTGAGTCAGTCACAAATTCTCTCCATTCCCTTTTATTTTAGCAAAACGATAAAAAAATACTTAGCAAATATTTCAATAACATTTCAGCAACCAGGCTTTACAAAAGCATTCAATAACTGCTGGGGAAACAACACTGAGACCACCCCCAAGGAAGACCAAGAAGCTTTTCTGAGCCCTCCCAAAGGATACCGAAAAGAATTATTTAATTTTCCACCCCCCCCCTATTTTCCCCCATTTTTTCCCCCTTTCCACAGCCCCCAGGACCGCAGCTCCCTGCCTCCTCCCCGGCAATAACTCCGCTCTTAAGCAAACATGACGTATTGCCTGGGAAATGTCGCTGCCTGCGGGAAGGGGAGGCCCCTCGACACTCGGCTGCTGTAAAAAAGTGGGGGAAAAAAGGATTATTTTTTTATTTTTTTTTTAAGTGGGGTTGTTTTTAATTTTTTTTTGAAGTGGGGTTGGTGGGGGTTGGTGGGGTGAAGGGTTAGGGGATGCCCACGGGAGGAGAGCTCGGTCGGGGTGCAGCAACCCAGGTTGTGCTCAGGGGAATAAATAACAAACCAACCCCCCCCCCAAACCCAAACTAAACCAAAAAAAAAAAAAAAAAATTTACCCAAACCCTTTGCAAATCCGTCTTTCCAATATTTAGTTCGGCAGAAAATAGTTTCATTTCTCAGGGCTGTTTTTTAACCTGTTTTAAAGTATTTTTTCATGCTGGGGTTTGGGTTTTTTTTTCACTTCCAGGTTATTTGTGAAAGGAGAAATTACTCTCTGGGTGAGAAATTTAAAAAAAAAAAATTAAACAATTAAACCCAAACGGCCTCACGAGTGGGCACGGGGCATGAGGCAGAATGGGCCACGGTGCCCGGGTATGGCCAAGAAGATGCTGAACGGAGCAATTTGGGGCCAGCTCCAGCCCCAAGTTCAATGTTGCACCAGACAGGGAACTGTTTTGGGGCAAAGCGCCTAATTTTGGGACCAGAGAGATTGGGTTTAACCCTTTTTTTTTTTTTTTTTTCCTTGGCATTAGCCCCTTTGCACCACGCGGGACTGTGGGTGCCACCGCAGCGCAGATGCCCAACAGCATCCGAGGCACCGAGCTGCTTTGTACGACGTGAGTTTCCCTGGACTCAGCTCAAAAAAAAATAAAAATAATCACGTCCCTCTCTCGGCTGCGCTTGCCGGGGCCGGACGGGAGGGGTCAGCGGCTCCGGGGGGGGGGTGGGCGGGGGCTGCATTGGGCTTCCCCAAAAAGCTGCACCGAATCTCACTGAATTTGCACCAAAACTGCCTCTGCTGCCTCTGAGAGTAGGACCAGGGGAGAGGACAAGTGGGACAGGGAGGGGGACCAAGTGGGACGAGGAGAGAAGACAAATGTGACCAAGAGACCAACAGGACCAGGAGAGGGAAATAAATGAAACCAGGAGTTGGCGACAAACGTGACCAAGAGATGGGACCAGGAGTTGGGGACAAGAAGAACTAGGAGAGGGGAAAAATGTGACCAAAAGATGGAACAAATGGGAGCAGGAGATGGGGACAAGTGGAACAAGGAGAAGGGACCAGTGGGACCAGGGGACAAGTCTTTGGGCTGGGGATAGGTGGGAGCAGAAGACAAGTGTGACAAGGAGACCAGACCAATCAGGAGATGGGGACCAGTGGGACCAGGGGACAAGTCTTTGGGCTGGGGATAGGTGGGAGCAGAAGACAAGTGTGACAAGGAGACCAGACCAATCAGGAGATGGGGACCAGTGGGACCAGGGGACAAGTCTTTGGGCTGGGGATAGGTGGGAGCAGAAGACAAGTGTGACAAGGAGACCAGACCAATCAGGAGATGGGGACCAGTGGGACCAGGGGACAAGTCTTTGGGCTGGGGATAGGTGGGAGCAGAAGACAAGTGTGACAAGGAGACCAGACCAATCAGGAGATGGGGACAAGTGTGACCAGGAGAGCCGAC